TGCGCCTACCCGGACTCCGAAAGTTTGTTCTTCTGTGTTTAAACTAAACCCTAAACCCTATAAAAGGTTTGTTTTCCATGTCTAAACTAACTTGCGCCTACCCGAAAGTTTGTTCTTCTGTGTTTAAACTAAACCCTAAACCCGAGAAAAGGTTTGTTTTCCATGTCTAAAGTAACTTGCGCCTACCCGGACTCCGAAAGTTTGTTCTTCTGTGTTTAAACTAAACCCTGAACCCTAGAAAAGGTTTGTTTTCCATGTCTAAACTAACTTGCGCCTACCCAAAAGTTTGTTCTTCTGTGTTTAAACCAAACCCTAAACCCTATAAAAGGTTTGCTTTCCATGTCTGAACTAACTTGCGCCTACCCGGACTCCGAAAGTTTGTTCTTCTGTGTTTAAACTAAACCCTAAACCCGAGAAAAGGTTTGTTTTCCATGTCTAAAGTAACTTGCGCCTACCCGAAGGTTTGTTCTTCTGTGTTTAAACTAAACCCTAAACCCTATAAAAGGTTTGTTTTCCATGTCTAAACTAACTTGCGCCTACCCGAAAGTTTGTTCTTCTGTGTTTAAACTAAACCCTAAACCCTATAAAAGGTTTGTTTTCCAAGTCTAAACTAACTTGCGCCTACCCGGACTCCGAAAGTTTGTTCTGTGTTTAAACTAAACCCTAAACCCGATAAAAGGTTTGTTTTCCATGTCTAAACTAACTTGCGCCTACCCGAAAGTTTGTTCTTCTGTGTTTAAACTAAACCCTAAACCCTATAAAAGGTTTGTTTTCCATGTCTAAGGGGGAGATGTGCGATTTCCGGATGAACTGGTTCGTGTGAAACAGCCGGATCTGCCACTGTCACGGTACACAATGAGGTACTGAATATATATATATATATATATATATTATATATATATATATCGAGGATACCCTTTCAGCCGGGCCTCGGCTCCGTTTCTCGTTCGGCTCGATGGGTTTGCGTCTGCCTGGCAAGTGATGAAAAAACGAGCATCATTCAAATGACAAAAATGACAATAGTAGTAACAGTTTAGTCACGATTGAAGTGATGGCCACTGCCCATTGTTGACGAAAAGCGGAACACCGTAGCAATAATCTGAAGACTACGAACATCATATGTTACATTCCCAGCAAGCGAGAACGGGCATCCGACGGATGCTCAGAATACGACCATGACGTGACTACGCCGCAAGCATGTACTTTGGAATCGAGATCCGCTTACACAGCACTCTCCCACGGTACAGTTTCCTGTGCTTCGCACATGGCCTGAGTGCTACTTCTTGAGCCGGGCTGCCAAAAGTTTCGGGAGGCCGCCAGCCCCCAGGAATCGACTTTGACTACTGCTTGATGGCGTGTGATATACAAATCTATACGGGAGCCACAAGAAGGGGAAATTATTACCACTACGATAATCTAACGTTGCAAACTTCGAAACAGCAGGGCCTCTAACAGCAGTGGTTCCTGATCGCTCGCATCATCCTGCGCAGATGCAGCGGTTGGTTTCCAGGTCAGCACCGGGATACGCACTATAGAGCCATCGAATCATACCCAAGAGGCATGCCAAGTAGTGATCTAAAGCCTGGAACCCAAGACCCCAAGCCCTAGCATAACACGTCATCTTCGAAGTTCCTGGCACTCAGATCGCTGCCACGAAGTGCCTGGCACTAAGATAGCTGCAAAGATGGCACTGTGGCCCTCCTGCACTGGGGCAGGCGGATAGTAGTCGTAGTGGTTGAACTCCTTCCGGCCGGCACAGAGCTGAAAATACCGCACCTCTACTAAAAACTTACTCCAGCATGTTCCTCTGCGACGTGGCCGGATGACCAGATTCAAACTTTTCGAGTTACAAGTGGAACATAACACAAGGTGTGGTGCCAGAAGGACAGGTTCAGCCTCTGCATCAGCATCTGCAGGATCTAAACCACCATGGTTTCCTGCGCCGTCGTCGTTGTCAGTACATGTGCTAGCACATCCCATCGTGCGAATTACTTGTTGGACGTCTACATTGTCTACTTTGACATGACTCACCACAGAATAAACGGACGGATGGACGCACGAACGCACGAACGAGCTAAGTCATTGATTGGTTAGTTGGCTAAAAGCTGAATGCATTAACCAACGAGTGATTCCATTCATTGGTTACCACTAATTAAACCTCTCACGAGATCAGTAACGAGTTTATTTACTAACTGTCCTGATGTGTCTTTACTCACGTAGTCAATGACCGACTGTGTATTGAATGAAATATGTGATTCAGTACTTCATCAACTAGTTGATGAACTAATCGCTACACTGCTACACAGCTAGCTGAATATCTGGTTAGTTGAGTTGTTACTTGGGCTGACATTCAGTCAGTCAGTCAGTCCGTCCGTCAGTCAGTCAGACAGTCAGTCAGTCAGACAGACTACTTGATTTTGCGACATGTGCATTGCAAAGCCCATTGGCCAATTGACGAGATATCTAATTGTTAGAGTGACTGAGCGGTTCAGTGAGCTAAGAAGCTTGGCATGTCATTAATCAGCAAGTTGATCCATAAACTCATCAGTTAAGGTAACCAGCTGGTCACAGAAATCAGTTTATAGTTAGTTGTTGAACACCTAACGCGTGCAGTACCCGCATATCGTTTGCACTCTCGCAGGCACGACCGGCCTTCCATCTCGCCTCTGACCTTGCAGCGTGTTACAAAGCTTCTGTAAAGAGACGGCACCGCGTGGATGCCTACATCCTAAGGTGGCGCTTCGAACCCCATGATCCAGTCATCTGGGACCTGGGAGTCGCACACCAGCTTGTGCCAAAAGCATCGCAGCCCCCGCGTCCTGATCTGTTCACTGCGAGAGCGGTCAGGCGATGAGGCTGTTATCTCACATGCACCTAGGCACCTATCATATATCGACATCATGCAGTGTGTGAAGTCGAGCACTGTTTAGCACTGAGGACGGAACAAGGGATCCTCGCTCCACGCATAAGCAGAAGCAAGAGAAAGGCCCCAACCTCGTGTCAATCCGCGAAGGGTCTGTCTTGTGGCCCTAGACTAGACATGTATTCTGCAGAGAGCACAGCAACATGGAGGCTTCGGATAGGTATACGCAACAGGAACAAAGAAATGCCAAAGCATGGCGTGCGAAGCAAGGACGGAGCAAGGCTTTCTGCTGCAGGCTCCCACTGGTAGAATGATTACAACTTCAGATGTCGGCTTCATGGCCAGCTGTGGCTCCACGCCGGCCTGACCGAAATCAAGTCGCAAAATCACGAGATCAGTCAGCACTGCTTCTTTGACAGGGTTGATTCTGTGCGGCCGCGCTTCCTCGCAACAGTGGACGCATGCAAAGACAACAAACTCCGCATTGGTTCTCACTCCCCCTGACGCAGAAAATACGATGCGGCCTGTTCAGCCAAAGCAAGAGCCATGATCGAAGCGCTGTGCTAGAACTGTCAGTGACATTCAGTGACATGTATTGGCTTTCCGATTCTAGCTCCATCTAGCTGCCAGGCGGCCACAAGAGCTGGCGCTTGCATAGGGTTTGCAGGTCGCATGCCTGAGCCCTGAAGCTCATTGACAAGCATACAATGTTCATCCACACACTGCAGGTGCTGGAAACACAAGCGTTGGCGCATGCAGATCATCGACTTGCTGTCCAAATACGCCGTTTCAACCTGCTGCTGCCCAGGCAAACACTTTCCCAAATACGGCACTGGATAAGCTGTCCAACTGAACTTGACGTGTATCGGAAACAGCTACGAGGTCCGACTTTAACATAAAAAGCTGTCAGTAGTTGTAGCATTCGATGCCTCTTTTTCGCCATGCTTCGGAACTTGCTTCATCGTTGGAGTTTAGCTTGCAAGATTTCAAAAGCTTGGCAGATTGTCGGGCGAGGTGGTGCGCGGCAGTCTTGTGCTTGTTTTGGTTCATATGTTTCCGAGCCGTGGCCGCGAGCCCTCGCAACTCCTGCAACGAATTTAACAGCTCCAAGTTCTGTCAACAGCATTCAACAGCTAGTTCAAGTTTAGGGCTTGGGGGTTTGGAGCTTAGGATATTTCTCGACTGGAGCTGGTGAAACCTGGGATGCTCTGCCTTGCCACGTCAGTCTGGTGCTGACACCACCTGCTTGAGTACCAGCTCGTCTTTTGTCCGCAACAAACCATCCTACACACAATCACGTGATGCGGCGGAGTTTTTCGGGAAACACGAATAAACATTGGATGACGAAACTGCCTGTTCTTGTTCGAATTTCGCGTAATACCACAGCAGCTGGCAGGAGTATCCACTGCTAATTCCGCATGGGCCCAAGCCATGGAGCTCCGTTAGAAGAGCGTTCTGCACTCGTTCCCTGCACGGCCAATGCCAGGGCCAGTTTTGAGCTCAGTTGTGAATGGCTCTGTCTGTCTTCGGATCTTGAAGCAGCTTCAAGACTGGCAGCCTGACAGAGTTTATAATGTAAGACATCAGCAGACCCACGACCAACCTGTGAGGACTCGCAAACGAGTTAGCCTTGGATTTGAGGGACTGCCGAATCTTTTTGCTGGCGGTGTAGGTCTGGCTGCTGTGACATTGGCTGGGGCCAACCAGCAAACTGGAGCGAATGGCAAGCGGGGGCCGCATAGGAGAACAGCCACAATGCCTTGTCCGGTGCCATTCTCGGGCCTTGGGGTCTCTTTCAGTGCAGAACCATGCAAAACCGCCACGGTGCTACTGAAGCTGCCCACCAATGACCTAGCTAGCACCTCCTTTAACTGTTGCAACTTCGTCCGCCGCCGCCCTTGCCGCTTGCTTCTGCAGTACTGCTACGTAATTCTACACATGGCCAGCGACTGATTTCTGCTCTTGCTTAGGAGTCGAGCTCTTTTTTTAACCACAAACAGTCGAAACCTTTCTCTCAGTTGCCGGGCCTTTGCTCAAACTGAGAGAGAACACCTTGGCCAAACACAGGATTCTGCTCCATGACGCAAACTGGCCACGGCTCGAGTGGTTCGTGTCTGAAGATCTGATGCGCCGGACCTTACGAAGCTGCACGCACCGGAGCTGACTCTGTGCCGCCTGCAGAACGGAGATCGGAAGAATTGGGATTGGCCTTGTCGCTGGACAAGGACAGAACTGAGACATGCAGCTCGACTTGGTACTAGTATCAAATCAGCATGCGTCCTTGCGATTGCACTTCGAAAGGGCGTCGAAGGCCGGCTCGCGCCTGTTGGTGAAGACGGCTGCGCTGCAACGTTCGCTGCCACAGGCTCGGACACTGGCGCCTGGGCAGTGCTTCGCAAGAAGCACAGTGCGATGCCGCAATCTCCAGTCACGGTTTACAGTGTGTATACATGTGTATATAGTACAGTTCTTCTGCATGTCTGACCCGTCCTGGATACTGTGTAAAATCTGCAACCGCCAGGGCCCAAGCCTTTGCTGCGGCCTTGGGAACGGCACCTGGTTTGGGGGGAAGCTGAAGAGACTGCAGCCTATGGAGATGCTGGCTGACTGCTACACTCTTTACTCTTTACACCCACCCTTGTCACAGAAAGACTTCTCGGTGGGACTATGCCTGTTACCATGCGATATGCTGGGGAACAGAAGATGTGGAGCAAGCATGCCAGAATGTCAATTTATCAGAAGCCAAACTCGGCAGACTGACTGGTTTCCAGAGAAGTCCAACGTTGAGCCGCGATTAAGCTTCTTGTGTTGCACTGTGGTCCACTCTGTCGTGTAATTTAATTTTGCGCGCGCCAAGCCCGAACACGGAAAGGACCACCACACTGCGTTGCAAAATGGTACCATGTTTCTTAGAGAACGCTTTCTGACAAGGCAGTTGTCTGAGGCAGAACGTCTCATTGCCCAGGCCTGAGCCCTTGGTTGCCATCGGTGCGAGGAGCTCCTGCAGCTGGAGCGCGAACTGCTTCTGCACGGAGGCTGCAGCGCCTTGGTCGGACAAATGAATGATGAATGAAAAGCGGCTAGAGCGCACACGTGAACTGGGGCATAGTGAACATAGTTCAGTGCCAGAACCTACTGTCAGAAGCTCAGAACCAAGAGCAGTCAATGTTTCTGTCCTCCCGTCTTGTCGCATCCACCTTTGCAACACCTTCTCCAAGACTCTTAACTGCATCCAAGAAGGAAGCAAGCCCGGAGGTCCCTCCGGGTGCCCTTGCTGCCCACGGCAGGAGGTGCTGCCTGCTTCAACAATTATAGCAAGCAGATCAGAGGCACCACCTACAGCCTCTGTAGACCTGCTACCTTCCGCGTCCATTCGGAGCTCGGATTCCGGATCAGTGACACTCCACGCCACTCAACTCCTTGCATACGTATAACACTGAGAGGAAGGAATCACTGGCGACTCCCTTGCTGCGATACATCCTCATGGCATTATTCTCACGTATGTGTCAGACTTAAGCTTCCGCCCGTTAGCGCTCAAGTGCTACCGTAAAAAACACCTCGCATGCTTTGGTTTACCCAGCTTAGAAGGCACACAGGCCTTAGCTGCTTTGGCCAGCTCGGCACTGAGGGCTGCAAGCACCTCACTCGCACCTCCCGAGGCACATCAGCGACACCTCTAACGTGTCCTTTGCCGCCAACATGTCTGTGTCATGTCCGGCTCCAGCTTTCGCATTTCCACGGGTGCGCCTGGTGTTGCAGCGCCTTCCTGGGTGCAATCAGGCTCAAAGTGAACACTCTGCCGGCCTGTGAAAATCCGCAATCCTATATATCCCCGTGGCAACATCCGGCTTCAAATCAACATCCGCGAATATCCGCTATGATAGGACTGTGCATCATCACAGCATATCACTCTTGCTCTTTCGGAATACCGCTGCATCAACGGATGTGACCGACATGGCACCTTGTTCGGCGGCCACGTGACGGCCCAGTCTGGGCGCTCGGGCGAGAGCCTCTCTTGCGACTGCTGAAGGACCGGATTCATTGGGTCGTTGAGGCATCCTGAAACACATTCCAGCAGGGTCTCGTCCCTTGAAAGCACGATTTCCAAACGCTCGGCGGATGATTTGGAACCATTCGGGTGGGGGGAGGCTTTGTCACACCTTCTCCTCTTCAAGAGCCGTGGCTGCAGCAATGATTCCGTCGTGCCAGCTGACACGGGCCCCGAACAACGTCATACAAGCACGATATGGGAGCTGCAGCTCTCACGGCCACCCCCAATGATACTGGTGAAACAGGTGTAAGCGCATCTGTCATCTGTCTCTCTAACAGTTGCTACAGTCCGGGAGTAATTCCATCGTAACTTCCCTTCCCGCCCGGTCGCCGGCTTCATGCTGGCGTTGCCCTTTCCTTTCCGTTCCCCCCCTTGATCGCTGTTCGAAGATTCGGGGGAGGCTTTGTCAGCTGTCACCCCAGAGATGACTTGTTAAAGTCATGCAAGTGACACTGCTTGCTGCACTCGGCTTCTTGTCCGCTTTGCCCTTCCGCATACCCGTGTTGGGATTGGGCAGCGTTCGGCCCACCAGGGTGCTATAGCGAAGTAAGCGTTTCTGGGGTGGCTACACGTGTAACAGGTGCCGCGCATGGGTCAGGGCTGGCCGTGCGTCTGAGCCAAGTGAATCGCACGACATGCACTGGCGTTGGACCAAATGCCGACGATGTCAAGAAATAGTAACATCGCAACCTCTGCTGTTCGTCAGGGCCTTAGTCGACAAGGGCTCGGTCGTCGGTTCCAGGTATCGCCGCGCTTCTCACCAGCGGCGGATGCTGCCCTGCGCTGGTTGCCTGCCAGCACATGTAGGATTCGAGCTCGAGACCTTCCTCCAGATCTCAGCATACACCAAGCATGACCAAGGGATATTTACGCAGAAAGACAAAACACGTCCTGCCTGGACCCCGCCGACTAGCACGGGCGGGCGGGGCCATGCGCCCAGCGGAGGACGGCCGTGAAGCCTATCAGCAGAGGACGATCTGTCGGAAGATCTCAGGAAAGTGAGATTTTGAGATGGATGTGCATCTGCCACTTGATCCAAGCTGAAAACTGCGTCGTTCACAGCCGTGCTCGGCACCTGAAACAACTGGATTCTCCACTTCTGTTATTCAGGTTTGGTGACTGTGAATGCTGAGGCTGCAGCAGAGCCCCACAACATGCGCCATCTCTGCAGCTCAGAGCGAAGGGAGGTCGCCATGGCCTGCCCATAGCTACCACGCCAGACTAGGACTATTCCTTGCCGTGATTCGCGGCCTCCGCGTGCCCCTTCTCCTCCAGAAGGCGACTGCGCTGCGTGTCGAGCTGGGCACAAGGGTGCGCAATCACAACATCATCCTTGGCAACTGCGGCAGACTGCGTTCTGGGCCTCCCCAAGCCATGGCAAGAGCTGAGCCACGACAGCCTTGCGAGTCCAAGAGGCGGCAAAGGGACTTCGAGTGTCCAGGCAAGCCACGCAAGCGACAAGCCTGCAGCTCTGCGAAGGAGCGGGCCACATCCGCCTTTGAAACACGTCTGGAAAAGGCAGCACAAGCTTCTTATCACATGGCCGGACACCACAGCCTGCTGGTTCTCCAGCTCCGCCCTTCTTTCTCTCTCCGCCGCGTGCTGTCTGCACTCTTCCTTTGAGCTTGCATTGCTGGTGCTTGCTTGCAGCACTGCGAACTCTGACAATTTCAAAAGGCCATCAGTTGCAAGCTCGCTTTTGCATCCCTCTCCGGTCCTCCAGTCGAGTGCAATTTGCCTGAGGCTGCTTTGGCGTTCCCATCTCAAACATCGCTATCCCTTTTCTAATTTAACGGACACAGCCGACTTGCCCTGGGAGTCTCGCTTGGCTCTCGGTGAGTTGGTCTTCCAGGCGCTGGCGCTCCGAGGCCACGGCCTGCAGAAAATACGTCTCAAGAGTCTCAGCTAAGTTCGTCGTAGGAACAATGGCGTTAGAGAGGTGTGTAAATGCAGGTGCTGCTGCTGGTGGTAACAGTGGTGGATGGTGCTCCTCGTTGTCTGACAGTCGTGGTCAACGTCGGCGTCGAAGTCGTTGTCGTCGTCGTAGTACTAGTAGTAGCATATACTGGCACAGCAGCACCGGCAGTAGGAGAAGGAGCAGCAGCAGCAGAGGTAGTCATGGCAGTCGTGATGGTGATACTGAGTTCATCGCCCCTAAAGCAATAACACCAAAGCTCCCCATGCTCCCCCTTTTGTTGTGGGGGTGGACCTTCGCGAGTTACTTCGCTTTCGCGGCCTCCTTCTCTTTCTCCAACTCCTGCGTTCTTTGGTGCAGCTGCTGGACTTCGGCCTGAGCAAACCCCGTGCCAGGATGCGACAAATCGAGGGCAAGGGAAAGTCAGCGCCTGCAACTCTTTCACGCGCTTCTCCAGCTCCGGGCGCTGCGCAAGGGCCTGCAGACATCCCAGCCCTGGAGAATGCTCAAAGCGCCCACATGACCACATGCTCTTCGGCAGCTTCTCCTCGTTTTGGCGCTCCAGCTCCTCCTTCCGCTTGTTCAGGCTCAGAACATCAGCCTCAAAGAAACAAGAACAGTGCAACGTCGTGCGTGCACCCAAGTGGATTCATGGACACCGGTGAACCGAGAACGGCAGAGAGGCAGTGGGAGGGACTGATAGAAAGAGTGGGAGGGAGCAAGACGCTGCTGGCAGGAGCTGTCAAGAGAAAGTTCCCCGCCTCCACTTTCGAGGTCCAGACATGCACTTGGCTCACGACCTCCTGCCAAGTGTTTTCCAGACATCAAGGTATCAGTATTGACAGCATCGCTCCACACAGAGTCAGAGTCAGTTCTTAGAGGGATTCCGACGCGTCACGTCGGGGTCTCTCAATCAAAGTCTGCACCGAGCCAACACGTGAAAGTCCTCCAGCTGTACAACATGAAGCTTGAGCTGAGCATGGGCAGGAGTTGAATCCTCCTGGCGTGGACGCTGCAGCTGATGTTCTCTGGTCGGAAAGACTAGAGGGGTCCTACCAAAGCCGCTGACTCTCAAGTTCTTAAGACGAGACTGCGAGCTGTAAGCAGCGGAAAGGAACACAAGATGTGCTGCAAGTTTGCCAGCTTTGCCGGACCGCGGGGATCAAAGCTGCGTCGCCTGGCCTCCGGTGTGTCAAAGCCGAGCGTCCGGATTGCAGAAAGCATTGCAGGGATTGCGAATCCTCTGCCCCAAAACAAGTTCTTTTCTCGCGCTTCAGCTCAATGCTTTGAGGGAAGACGGACGGATGCCCAAGCATCAATAAGTTGAGGACGAACCAACTGGGAGACATCTCGCTGAGCTGCGAGGCTGCTCAGGCGCAGTTGAGCTGGTTCTACAAAGCACAAGGCAAATGAACCGGATTCGCGCGACTTTCAAGGATCTGATGAAGCACTCCTGGGCAAAGCCATCTGTTTGCTGCAACACTGGACAATTATTTCTCCGGGTTCGGTGTTGCGGCACAGAGATGCCAGCCACAGTGACACAACTGTTGCGACTATTGTGGCAAGTTCAAACACTAGGCCTCTGCGTCGTAACTGGGCAACAAGCATTTCTCAGCTGCTCACTCGGGTAGCCCTCCTTCTTGAAGCCCGAACCCGCAGAGGCACTCTGGACACTTGCACTTCTAAAGCATGCCTTTAAAGTGGCGTATGGGTACATTGGGTTCTTTTGATGTTGAGATGCGGCCGGTAGGGGGAACCATTCTTTTCCAATGCTCGATCGAATGGCACCCCCAACCAGACCAACTGAGCTGTAAGTTTCTCCAGCGCAGTTGCATCAACCTCCTACCTGCCGGGGTTCTGCTGCGACTGATTGGGGACCTTGCGACATGAAATGCGCGTGATCGTACCATTCTTCAATGGCATTTTGGCACAACCCCGATAGAAACTGCTCGTTTCTCCTGAACGACCAAAATTTGAATTCTCATGCAGCTGCATTGGCGTTGTTTTGCGGGCACTAACAAAAGGAGAGCTGAAAGCTACTCGTAACACGAATCATTAAAAGAACGAATTTACCAGAGCTGTAACCCCCATCGTTTAAGGTGCCCACCCTCCGACCGCTCATGACTCTGAGCCTTGTCATTCAGTCTTTGCAATAAGGATCGTTCACTCCTCGGGTCACTCTACTTCGAAGATTGCACTTCGGCTTCTATGAGACCACCCCAACTGCAGGAGAAGGCACGGTGTGGGCCACAAAGTGACGCCTCGGTGAAAGGCTCAGCTCGCTGTCCTTAACTCTTCCAAAGCCCTGGGCCCTGGGTGTCCAACTCGTAGAGGCGCAGACCTGGGATACGAAATCGGACCAGATACCCGAGGCCCGAGGCAGGCTGTAGGACTGTAGGATGTACCGCCGTCAACTTGCGATGCGTTTAGACCCGGCGGCTCATGTCCATCAAGCGCTCGTCGGGTGTCTTCTTGCGCAGCTCCTAAACGAGTTGAAGCATGGCATTCCCCTTATATACAGAGTCCCACCACAGCACCAGATTTGTCGTGCCCAGCTGGGTGCTCAAGAACGCTCCGCAAGCCAACACTAACCTGCCACGAACCTGCTGTAGCTGAGCTCTCCTCCAATGCTCCTTCCTTGGCCTGAACAACAAATGGAAGCGAGTGGTGCTTCCATCCCAGGTGTGATCCTCAAATCACACGATGTGTGCCGGCCTCCTTGTGCTGCAGCACCTCTGTCAGCAGCACGTCTAGAAAGCTTGTGTGCGAACTCGACACTATCTCCCGACACTATCTCCCTCTCTCTCTCCCTCTCTCCCTCTCTCTGTCAGGCTGTGGTCGGGGCAGAGCATCTTTCCAAACCAAAACACATCGCACTTACATCATTCTGTCCCGGGGGGCCTTGCTTACGCTGCTACTCTTGGCAGGGAGGTCGGGGCGCATTCAACTTGACCCTGGCCATGGCCTGCTGTTCTCGTGGAAGGAACACTCGGCTTTTGTGGTTGGAGGGGTGGGCAGGCCCCCCACCTGCCCTAAGTTACGCAAGCTCTCGACTCCAGTCCCTTTCCCTTCCCCACTTTATTGCTGAGGCATTGCTCACCCGAAAGTCGGTGCTGCCCCCGACATTTATTTCAAGCAATCCAGCGAACCCTGTTCGACCCCTCCTCTCTCCCTCTCCGTGTCTCACCTTTACATCTGAAACCGCTTCATGCGATGCCTTGTCTGCCACAGCCTCATTGTGCTTGGTAGCCTTGGCCGAAATCTCCTTCATCTTCTCAACGCGGAGGTCAGACTGCCAATGCCGTTGCTTTGAAGTGGAAGCCACACAGTTAGAAGATGGGCGTAGTATGACTTGCTTTCACGTTTCTTCTTCAGGTTTGGGGTCAGGGAGAATGGTACTGTGATTGTCTTGCTTGCACTGCAGGCCATAGCTTTCGTAAGCTTCTACCTGTTTAGCTCTTAAACCAAACCCGGACCGGCACAGTATACACAAGTGGGCTGAGCGGCCTTCTTCAGCAGAGCCTGCTGTAAGCGCTCGCGGGCCTCCTCCGCAGTCATCTCGCCTTGTAGGGAAAGCTCGGCCATCATGATTCTTCAGATGCGAGTAAGCGTGAGTTTTTTGAAGGCATGAGGCACTTCGTTCGCATTTCCTCCAACCGAGCAACTGGAACAGTCATTCTGCGGATTGCAGGAGATCTGAGAAGATTACAAGGCTCTCACAAAGCAGCACAGATCAACTCAGAAGTGTTGAAGTGGTGATGGAAAGTTCGGCTGAGTGCTGTTTGTGTGGCTGCGACAACCTTGGAACTTGTGACAACGACCCCTTCTGGTCTTGGCATAAACGAGTCATGTCGAATCAAACTCCTGACTGACACTACATGCGAAGCATGGGCTCAAGGCCCAAGGCCTTTCTGCTTTGACGTGTCCTTGACCTCGATCACCTGCGCAGGCGATCCGTTTCAGGTGAAAGTGATGCTGCCTCTAAGAAGTCTCAGCTTCCTTTTTTGTGCCAACCTTCTCGATGTGCTGGGCCGCTTTCTTCTTGATGCTCGCCAGGGCACCTCTAAACTGAAAATGATTTAACATGCTGACCATGGGGGGCCAAAGCTCTGTAAGGTGTGAGGAACGATGCAAACCAGCTCCGTTCCTTCGCCGTAGTTGTGATGCAGATTAAGTTGTGAAGTTTGCGTGCATGAGCGAGAGTAGAAGCACAGACTTGCCGGGGATCACAGACACAGTCCGCCTCATGTTCAGGAATCCACATAATCCACACAATCACTCTACAGGCGTGCACCTTCACGATTTTCGCCGGCTTTCTCCAGCTGTTGCTCGAGAGTCTTCTGCTTTGCTTCAGCCGATGTCCTCGGCCCCGGTGCAGCTTGGTACAAAAATCTCAAACTCCAATCCTCAACAACAGCATGTGGACAGTTGGCGCCAGGAGGCTTGAACTCATCACGGACGCGCTGAGCCGCTTCCTTCTTTTGCTCGTTGGCTTGGCGAGCCTGGTTGGAAAGGGCAGAGTCCGGCCAAGCAGAGGGCAAAGGAGACACAAGGAGACTCGCTCCTTCCTAAATTCAAATCTGCTGATGCGACTATATCTAAGCCTAAATTTGTTTGCTGTCATACCGACAACAAGATGACCGCTGCAGAGAAATCCCTGGCTGCCTTGCCTTGTCGGCACGCTGCTCTTTGAGCAGAGGAACAGGGCTGCGGGCACCGAGAAGCGTCCTTGGCTCAGCCCCCCAGCCAGGCAATGAGAAGACTGGCCGCTGCGCTTGCCAGTGCGGGGCGGTGCAATCAGCCTGACTCGGGACCATGTTGTACTTGAACAAAGCCTAATGCGAGTACCCTGGCTTAATGAGTCGCTCTCTTCGGATCTCCGTCTCCCCATTTCGACCTCATAGTTCCCCGTCACTTCCGAGGTTCGGCAGTTGGGTGGTTGGCTTCTTCTCGTAAGATTCCAAGCGGAGACGTGCGGCAGTCTTCAGCCTCACAGCAGGTGACATGCAGGGACCAGGCAAAAGGACCCTCCAGCTTATCTTTCACGACCAGGGAGCTTGTCGGAACCGGGGCTCTTGATCTGCACCTCTCTCCATGCAAGTCAGTACTGCTCCCTTCCGACAGCAACGAAAGAACATGGAAGCCTCGAAGGCAGCGCCGGACTCGTTCTCGGCAATGGTGGCAATCTCAGGAGGAGACATGCTCGGCCTGAGTTCATCGCAAGGGCTTGCGGCTCCTGCTCCCAATCTTCGCAGATATGGAGCAGGCTGCCAGGCTAACCGGGGCGAGTCCCAGTCCAGGGGATCTGATGCACCCGTCATCCCGTCATGCAAAGAAAGCATACCGCAGCTCTTTGCGGGCGAAGGGCGAGTGATGGGAGACGCAAAGGCCACCAAAGGAGGACTTGATATTCAAACAGTTGCTGAGAGCAAGGACATGCGCGGATGACACACCTGTTCAGCTCTAATGTGGCACTGTCTTTAGTGTGGGCCCCCAACCAAAAGTTGGCATCCCGAAGAATCTGTTGCCTGTGACCCCCTGACCCCGTTGACCCCCTTGACCTTGGTTGGCGGTCCGGTTTGGGGTGGGGGGTTGAGGAGAGGGCTTCAGGCTTGGGGGTCATGGATGGAGGGTAATTACTTTGAGTATAGGTGTTCGGCTTAGGGGCATGGTTTGAGAGTTCGGGGTTAAGGATTCTTGCACAGGTTAGGGCCAGGGTTGGAGGCTTGGGTCAGGGTCGGGGGCTTGGGGTTCAGGGTTTAGTTGTGGCGTATGTACGTATGTACTATAATTTTAGGGTTACGGGGCTTTCAGGCTTCATGGCTTCAGGCTTGAAGGGTTGGGATTCGGGGGGGGCTCTTCAGATTGACTATTCGCAGAAACACAAGAAACCCCCCGAAACAAACAAGTACAAAAAAACACTGATTATAGGCTTTGCCCGAAAGTAGCCGAAGAATTGAATAACAAGCCCCGGAGAAAAAAAACATAGACCATGATGGCGCTAAAGACAGTGCCACAGTACGTAAAACCACCCGCCCTACAAAGGGTCTGTGCGACCCTGACGCAGCACAAGTGTGGATTCTTCGGAGCTTCCCTCCGTGCCTTGTCTGCCTTCGCCGCAGCGCTGACCTGGGAGCAGGAGCTCTCAGCCTCAGACCTGGATCCCGGCTGCTTGTGGGCTCTGGCAATTTGCAGATGCTCGACTGTGCTCCGAGCAGGTTCGCTCACGGCCTTCTCCTTCCAGGGGTGCAGTACTGCTGGGCAACACCTACGCCGCAGGTTTGTTGTGTTTGTCCGGCCTCTTGTAAAGGCGGGGAGCTCATCCTCAGACGACCATCTGTGCGCCGGTGTGTTGTGGCAGTAGCTGGCGGTTGTGCTGCTTGGCTTGAGGCTGAAGTCTTGGAGGGTCTTCGAATACAAGTTCCAACTCCCATATAACGCTTAGCTGGGAAAGCTGCTAACAGCGAGTTCCCTGCCTCTCCTTGCTCTCTCGGGCTTGTAGTGCTCATGATGCAAAGCGGCTGGCAGCCAAACGCAATTTTCGCAGATCCAGCTGCGTCTGTGCTCTGCACAATCTGTCAGAAGCCGTCAGCAGAGACCCAGTTCACGAAGCACTGCAGCACGCATGAGTGCTTGCCATCGCACAGACCAGCTCGCGGCTCTAGCACTGAGAAAATAGCTCCGAGTTCCTGCACCCTGCAGTTCTTTTGCCTCGACCCTGGCAGCAACTCACTTTACCTTCTCCAGAATGAGAACATTCTCATCGTCAAACATGTGGTGAGCGTCGTGGCCTGAAAACTCTGACTGGCTTCTCCTCTTGAAGAGTCATGCAGCCAAGGCAACACCACTACGATGAAACGGATATGCTGATTGCCATTGCTAGAAGTCTTGTCTTGCTCCAGTCCTAGCGTCCTAGCAGCATTATCAGAATCAAGGGTCAGAAGGCTGCTCCGGGGACGGGGCAATTCTTGGCCGCCTGGAAGAGCAGACTTGGGTCTCCTGATACGTCACGCAGCGATTTCGTCTGCTTCTCACTTTTAAACAAGAGTGCAAAGCACCGACTAATCAGTTCATATCAGCACTCTGAATCTGCAGGGGCCCCGAGGACACATACTCTGCACAGAGATCAAAACCAAGAACGGCTTCATCCTTTCCATGTCATGCATTGCAGCATCTTGCCACTATGAGATCCCACTCGAGCTTCAGTACGCAGCCTCTTCTAGCAATTTGATTCGTCGATCTTAATCCAGGGCACCTCTTTCGCGGAAGAGAAGCCATGCCTGCCCAACGCACGTAAAGCCTAAGAATCTGAACAGCCACTGCCGTTCACTCAGATGACTGACTAAGCTAAAGGTTTCAGAGGACACACCGGTGTCAAACATGCGAGGCCTGTCTCGCGTTGCGAGCTGCGTCGCGCATGCTGTTTCGAAGCTCCGTGGCCTGAAAGTGGCTGGTGGAACCCGTTCACTCGAGGAACTTTTGGGCTAACATCCCATTGCATACAATGAGTCGGGACACCCTCGCAAACAGAAGTCGCATCTCATCGGCTGCTGAACTGTTGCCGGTCTCGCGGAACAGGGTCATGGCCTGGTGTCGAGCAGCACATGCAGTACTTAGACTTCTCTTCTGATTGGGGGCCGGAATCCACTGGGGCAAGTTGATCTCAGATCAGCACCCGCCCTGCTGCTTCCAGCGCGCTGCGAGGCTTGCGCATGGCCAAGTGGCCTTCAAAGGCAATCAAGAAAAGCCTACTGAGAAATGACCTGCAAGGGTCTCTGCAATGGAAACTCAAAGTACATCAGAATCACTTAAATCCTAACATTTAACCGATATTCACCACAGCCAAGGCTGCATCACTCGACGAAGCTGCGTTTGGGACGATGCTCAAGTTGAGCTTCCTGCCACGCGTAACAGTGCGCAGTGCCAGCGCCTGACCAGAACAAGGATGCTGCAGTTTACAGAGAGAGAGAGAGAGAGAGAGAGAGCAAGAGAGCAAGAGAGCAAGATAGCAAGAGAGCGAGAGCGAGAGCGAGAGCGAGAGCGAGAGCGAGAGGGAGAGGGAGAGCGAGAGGGAGAGGGAGAGGGAGAGCGAGAGCGAGAGAGATCGAGAGATGCAGAGAGGGACAAGAACATCATAAAACAGAGAGTAAGGGAGAGGGAAAGAACGGTCACAGCGAGACAGGAAGAAGAGGGAGTGGAGACTGCCTCACGCCGAGGCCACGCAGCTTCACGACAGCACTCGGCAAGCTCCTGGAAATACAGAAAGCAGGCCGTTGAATTTGCAGGACAATGCTACCAGCATTCACAACTCCTCTTCTGACGCTTGTGTTCACTCATCCTTTACGACACCAGTTGCTGCAGCGTTACGTTCGTGATAGCTAGTGAGCAAGTCTGTGACGATCATCGCAGGTAGCATCATCATGATATGTGTGATTACATTCGTGCCCTCTGCGAAAATCGTAAGATGCCATTTACTGGCAGCGCTCATACTCGAATTGTTTTATTGTTTTAGGTTCGCTTCGTAATATTCGACATTATTGGCTTATCAGGTTTCCTTGATTGCTGGAATGACTAGGGCACAAACTCTTGTCTGACTGTCTTCTCGCCAGTCTCACGACTTATTCTTCTTTGTATACGGTTTTTCATTCGTCTCTCTCAACAACTACTGCTGCTACTACTACGACTCCTCCTCCTTACTCCTACGTCTATGCCCACGCATCCTCCTATGGCTGCTGCGACTTCGACTGTTACTGCTGTGGCTACTACGACAATCTACGACATGTACGCTACTATGATCTACCATGTGTATACAGATGAATAGTCTCGCTCTTACTTCCGTAGTGTTCTTGTTGTTACCAGCGCTTCAGGAATCGGTCGTGTCCCTCCTCGGCTGCTTGCGTCATGGCCTCGGCATCCGCATCCGTCACAGGCGTTGAAAGAATGAATGAACGAATGACTGGTCATGGCTCGTGCTTTGATGAACATTGAAAGTCTGAACAGACAGCCGCTGCACTTGTGCTCGACACCGCCCCCGTAAGAAGATGGAAGCTGCCTTAATTCCCGGGCTGTTCGACCGGGAGGCCTGGAAGTCTTTGGTCTGGCGGCAAATCCTTGCTGGAACGCTCTGCTACGCTCCGGACGCAGCAACTCCGAAAACAAGGTCAAAGCATTTGTCAAGCCACATGACAGGCTGAGGATCGCGCTCAGCCAACAGCTCGAGGGCGTCAGCCTGCAAAAGCATTGGTCGTGAAATCCCTGACCCACTGACATCTCTGTGCTTCGTGCTGGGATGTGCTGGGCAGATCAGATTCGGCAACCCTGGACCCTTGAGCCAATCTCTGCACAGGGCCTTGCACTCCCACTTCCTCGTGCCCAGCAAGCGTTCGGAGGAGTTTCGCCTTGGCGTTAGCGTTAGGCTGGACGGGGTCGTCGGCCAAGCCAAGCTCCGCGCGCTGCCATGGCTGACTGGCGAGCCTCGACAGCCGAGACTGCAAAAGCAGCAGGGGATTCTGGCCCAGGCCCATGAAGCGCAGCATTAGACACTAGTGTTCCCGTCGAACTCCTGCTGACCTGGCCTCCTCGGGCAGGCTTGAGGCAAGCTGGGCTGCTGCGATGTGCCTGTGTGCCTGAATCGCTGTGCGACGTGAACGGGACCCCAAATCCAGCACCATTTTTCGCGATTGAAATGGACTCGACTCAGCTTGCTCTGCAAGAGCTGCAAGGCGTTCAAAGTTGACTTTTTGCTGTTTGGCTTCGTTTGGTGGCTGTTCCCGACAAAACGGCTTCATGGTCATATGCAGCCGCACGAGCATGCTATTCTTGAGTTCGGGTTGTCGCATTTCATCCGGGGGCTGTTGGCTGGAGGGCGCCTGCCAAGGCCTCGAAACTGTACCGTCGCACACGATTGAACTGACTTGCCAAGTTGCTTGCCTCGGCTCGACCCATCTGCTCGGCGCATCTATGCTCTTCTTTCGCTGCCGTCATTTCTCATGTTCGTGACATGCTGCACATCTCGTTCTGGCGGCTTGGACAGCAGCAATGCAAACAGGCTTGTAATTAGCGATGCCGTTCTTTCGTGTGAACATCAAGATTTTCGCAACATGTGGATTTGCAGCGTGCCTCTGCAAGGGACAAATAGTCTCCCTGCTGCTGCATCGCCAAGAGACCCTCAGACGCAATCTCCAGAGCCTCCCGAGCCAGATCCAGTAGAGCGGATGCCAAGCAACCACTGCTCTCGAACCACGAATCACAAGGTACAGCAGTCACCGGGTAGTCACGCGGCAGACACAGGCAAGCCAAGTGCCTGCCAGCAAAAACCCCCGCGCCTGCTCGTTGTTGCCCAAAGCGATCTCTGCTTGAACTACGATGCCTCGAGCTGAAACCTGCCACGGGGATCCACGGGGCACGGGGCTCAGGGCACATTTCAGCCGGCCGTGCCTCGCGCGCCCGGTCTAACAGCGATCGGAGCACGTCCTGCCATCTGACCCAACTCCCTAAACGCCTGGGCACTTCCCCTTCTCCACAGCTACCTGCGCCTGTGCTGCCAGACGTCGTGCATCCGTGGCGCGGTCCGCAGCCCTAAGCGTTGCATGACGTCGTGGACTAGAGCTGAACAGGCTATCATCATCTGCTGCTATCCGGACTTTCTAAGGTCAGACATCCAGGAACCAGCACAAAGGCCACGGCAAACTGTTCTGGGTCTGAGAGTCTGAGAATCTTGCAAAGCAGCGGAGGCAGCCGAGTGCAGGGCAGCTGCCTACTGCGTACATGAGTTCAAATGTTGAAAGACATGTACTCAGTCAAGCGGAAGACAACACATGGCATGGCATGGCCATATATCAGATATCGTACGCGACAACTTTTGGTCAAGACAGACTGAACCAGGAAAAACATGCACGAAGATGCAAAGTTTGCCCTCTCTGGATGCAAGACCCTGACAGAGCCCCCATTCTGCAGTTGGGACCTGATTCCTCTGGTCCCCACATCTGGCGAAGATTTCTGCCGCTTCTGAAGCCACGGGGACCACGAGATGGAACTCCTCCCTGGAAGCACCACGATGGAAGCCAGGCATGCACTGCATGGCTCAGTCTGCTCACCATGCTTGTGGACGAGTCATGCCGCGTTTGATCATTGCAATCATCAGCTACGCCGTTGGTCGGTGGCCTGGCGTGACGAACCTCGGGCAGGGACACCGGGAGGACATCCAGCCATGGCCAGCCATGCCATCTACTTCTGTGTCTGTCGGTGCTGCGCCTCTGCAAGGAGAGCCAGGGCAGCCGCCTGGGGAGCATGTCACCGACTTTTAAGGCTAGCGGCTAGCAGCCTCTTAGCACTCCGAGAACTTTGACAGAGCTCTTTTTTGCAGAAGGGCGGTCGATGCCAAGTGCACGCGATTCACCCAACGCTGCTCTCGTGGAACTGGTAGATTGTGCGGCCTGCAATTGAGGCCTTGAACAACCCGCCAAACAAAGGATCGCTTGGCGGACGGCAAAGCAGCCGCAGCTGCAAATTACCTAGACACGAAATTGAAATACATAGGTCCAAAATCGGCTCGAAACATCACGAGAACCTCTCTACACGACGATCTGCAACTCGGCCCGATCAAGCGCGGCCTTCGCGCAGTGCTCGTGGACAAGGTCCACGAGCTGAGCTGTCGACTTTCCGTGGATTCCGTGGGTCTCGCAGAGATTCAGGAGCACCCTGGCAAATTTCATGTTGAAGCCATTCCATCCGCCAGCAGACTGGTGGTACTCCGAGGCGGGGCAATGCTCGTGCACGGCATGTGCCAGCTCGTGGTGGCAGTCCATCTGGGTCATCTCCATGGGCTCGTAACTAAGCCTCTTTTGGCATTGGATGAGCTCGAGGTGCTTTGGGTTCACGACCGCGCATGCGGCAGCAGCCATGCCGGCAAAGAGGACCTCATCTGCCTCTTGGGCTTTCATGATGCCAACCAGGCGCTTCCAGGCCTTCTGCTTTGACTCCTCGTCCGCGGCATGCTGCCACGCCCACATGGCCTGGGTAACGTAGATGTCGCGGGCGTCCACGGACCCCTGGGCTGCATCAGATGGGCTCACGGAAAGGCTTGTGGTCTCCACGTTGCCAATCTTCTCATCCTCAAACGACTTGTCGCCGAAGCTGCACACATGGCTCTGATTCGTAAGCTTCGTGACCTTGGGTTAGGGTTTAGGGTTTAGGGCTTCGGTTTCTGGCTTTTTTGTGAACCCTTGTGTCGTTTAGCCGTACGCCAACAGACAACCATATTGGTTGAGCGGAGGGAACACAACTGCAACACCTACGCCACTCAGCATAATATCCCCCACACCAGGGCTTATAGGGCTTAGGGTTTAGGAAAGCCTGACCTTGGAGATTTGGCTGCGGAAGGTTTCAGACTTGAACTTGCCAAGGTCGTCGTCCTGCATCCAGTTCACGGAGAACAGGTCACCCAAGCAAGAACCGACATTCTTGCCCTTCACCATAGCAGAATCACCACAGTACGTTCCCCACGAAGACTCGTCTGCATTCGAGGCCGTAACTGCAAGGATCTTGCTGTCTGCCTGTTTGATTTGATTGAAGTTGTGGCACCGGAAATAAACAAAAGATTGTTTGATCACGGGGTTTTAAGATGTTGTGATGGCTTCATAGTGGGCTTGGTGTTTTAGGACTTAACAACCACCATCTGCCTTGAGGTCTGGGAACATGGAGCCGCTCTCGCAGGCTTCCATGTAGAAGACCATCTGTTTGAACATCTGCTTGCTCTGCATTGTCTTCAGCGTCTGGGACAGCTCCTTGACCGTGAGCACTGGACCGTTGGGGAAGGCGATGATGCCGGGACCGCCATGGTCCACAAAATTGACAAACACAGTGTCACTTGCGCCACTCTTCAGCACCTTGCCCTTGGCACCCTGCGTGTTGCCGGTCAGGACGTCCATGAAAAGCTGTCCAGTTACAATGTCGCCCGAATAGTCGACTTTGCAGCCCTTGTAGACATCAGGCGGGTTCTCGCCCGGCTTGTTGAACAGCTGGCCCGGGAACGGGTTCTCCTCGCTGTTCGCCACGTCGTCCTGCATCATCAGGATGATGTTGTCAGCTGGCACTCCGCTCTGCAACATGAGCTGGTAGGCATGGCAAGCATCTGCTTGGTGGCGGTAGTTCATGAATCCTGACGAGCCAGCTGCAATGACGGCATACTTCTCGGCAGCTGCCACGGCCGGAAGAAGCGCAACGAGGGCTGCGCGCAAAGCCATGGTTCCACGCAAAATCAGGAAATCTGACGAGAAGGAGTGTGTGCTCGAGCCAAGCTGATGTCCACAGTGATGCCACGACGACGGCATGTGGGCTTCACGCGGCTCGTTCCTGTCGTGTCCCAAGCCACACAACTGTCTGCCACACTATAATGAAGCTCGTTTTTCAGAAGGGTGGTCGGTGCCAAGTGCACGCAAGTTCACCCAGTTCTGCTGGACTTGGAAATTTGTAGGCTTGCAGTTGAAGCCTTCGGCAGCCCATCAAATTAATCATCCGCTGGCAGAAGGCCAATGGATGCTAGCTGCAAATTACACATAGGACCTAGACTGTGCAAGGGCGGGAAACAAAACGAGGCCCTCCACACTCTACACGACGATCTGCAACTCGGCCCGATCAAGCGCGGCCTTCGCGCAGTGCTCGTGGACAAGGTCCACGAGCTGAGCTGTCGACTTTCCGTGGATTCCGTGGGTCTCGCAGAGATTCAGGAGCACCCTGGCAAATTTCATGTTGAAGCCATTCCATCCGCCAGCAGACTGGTGGTACTCCGAGGCGGGGCAATGCTCGTGCACGGCATGTGCCAGCTCGTGGTGGCAGTCCATCTGGGTCATCTCCATGGGCTCGTAACTAAGCCTCTTTTGGCATTGGATGAGCTCGAGGTGCTTTGGGTTCACGACCGCGCATGCGGCAGCAGCCATGCCGGCAAAGAGGACCTCATCTGCCTCTTGGGCTTTCATGATGCCAACCAGGCGCTTCCAGGCCTTCTGCTTTGACTCCTCGTCCGCGGCATGCTGCCACGCCCACATGGCCTGGGTAACGTAGATGTCGCGGGCGTCCACGGACCCCTGGGCTGCATCAGATGGGCTCACGGAAAGGCTTGTGGTCTCCACGTTGCCAATCTTCTCATCCTCAAACGACTTGTCGCCGAAACTGCACACATGGCTCTGATTCGTAAGCTTCGTGACCTTGGGTTAGGGTTTAGGGTTTAGGGCTTCGGTTTCTGGCTTTTTTGTGAACCCTTGTGTCGTTTAGCCGTACGCCAACAGACAACCATATTGGTTGAGCGGAGGGAACACAACTGCAACACCTACGCCACTCAGCATAATATCCCCCACACCAGGGCTTATAGGGCTTAGGGTTTAGGAAAGCCTGACCTTGGAGATTTGGCTGCGGAAGGTTTCAGACTTGAACTTGCCAAGGTCGTCGTCCTGCATCCAGTTCACGGAGAACAGGTCACCCAAGCAAGAACCGACATTCTTGCCCTTCACCATAGCAGAATCACCACAGTACGTTCCCCACGAAGACTCGTCTGCATTCGAGGCCGTAACTGCAAGGATCTTGCTGTCTGCCTGTTTTTTTAAATTGAAGTTGTGACACCGGAAAGAAACAAGAGATTGTTTGACCGCGGGGTTCTAAGATGTTGTGATGGCTTCATAGTGGGCTTGGTGTTTTAGGACTTAACAACCACCATCTGCCTTGAGGTCTGGGAACATGGAGCCGCTCTCGCAGGCTTCCATGTAGAAGACCATCTGTTTGAACATCTGCTTGCTCTGCATTGTCTTCAGCGTCTGGGAGAGCTCCTTGACCGTGAGCACTGGACCGTTGGGGAAGGCGATGATGCCGGGACCGCCATGGTCCACAAAATTGACAAACACAGTGTCACTTGCGCCACTCTTCAGCACCTTGCCCTTGGCACCCTGCGTGTTGCCGGTCAGGACGTCCATGAAAAGCTGTCCAGTTACAATGTCGCCCGAATAGTCGACTTTGCAGCCCTTGTAGACATCAGGCGGGTTCTCGCCCGGCTTGTTGAACAGCTGGCCTGGGAACGGGTTCTCCTCGCTGTTCGCCACGTCGTCCTGCATCATCAGGATGATGTTGTCAGCTGGCACTCCGCTCTGCAACATGAGCTGGTAGGCATGGCAAGCATCCGCTTGGTGGCGGTAGTTACTGAATCCTGACGAGCCAGCTGCAATGACGGCATACTTCTCGGCGGCTGCCACGGCCGGAAGAAGCGCAACGAGGGCTGCGCGCAAAGCCATGGTTCCACGCAAGTCAGGAAATCTGACGAGAAGGAGTGTGTGCTCGAGCCAAGCTGATGTCCAGTGATGCCACGACGACGGCATGTGGGCTTCACGTGGCTCGTTCCTGTCGTGTCCCAAGCCACACAACTCTCTGGACTCTGGCGTATGCCACACTATAATGAAGCTCGTTTTTGAGAAGGGTGGTCGGTGCCAAGTGCACGCAAGTTCACCCAGTTCTGCTGGACTTGGAAATTTGTAGGCTTGCAGTTGAAGCCTTCGGCAGCCCATCAAATTAATCATCCGCTGGCAGAAGGCCAATGGATGCTAGCTGCAAATTACACATAGGACCTAGACTGTGCAAGGGCGGGAAACAAAACGAGGCCCTCTACACTCTACACGACGATCTGCAACTCGGCCCGATCAAGCGCGGCCTTCGCGCAGTGCTCGTGGACAAGGTCCACGAGCTGAGCTGTCGACTTTCCGTGGATTCCGTGGGTCTCGCAGAGATTCAGGAGCACCCTGGCAAATTTCATGTTGAAGCCATTCCATCCGCCAGCAGACTGGTGGTACTCCGAGGCGGGGCAATGCTCGTGCACGGCATGTGCCAGCTCGTGGTGGCAGTCCATCTGGGTCATCTCCATGGGCTCGTAACTAAGCCTCTTTTGGCATTGGATGAGCTCGAGGTGCTTTGGGTTCACGACCGCGCATGCAGCAGCAGCCATGCCGGCAAAGAGGACCTCATCTGCCTCTTGGGCTTTCATGATGCCAACCAGGCGCTTCCAGGCCTTCTGCTTTGACTCCTCGTCCGCGGCATGCTGCCACGCCCACATCGCCTGGGTAACGTAGATGTCGCGGGCGTCCACGGACCCCTGGGCTGCATCGGATGGGCTCACGGAAAGGCTTGTGGTCTCCACGTTGCCAATCTTCTCATCCTCAAACGACTTGTCGCCGAAACTGCACACATGGCTCTGATTCGTAAGCTTCGTGACCTTGGGTTAGGGTTTAGGGTTTAGGGCTTCGGTTTCTGGCTTTTTCGTGAACCCTTGTGTCGTTTAGCCGTACGCCAACAGACAACCATATTGGTTGAGCGGAGGGAACACAACTGCAACACCTACGCCACTCAGCATAATATCCCCCACACCAGGGCTTATAGGGCTTAGGGTTTAGGAAAGCCTGACCTTGGAGATTTGGCTGCGGAAGGTTTCAGACTTGAACTTGCCAAGGTCGTCGTCCTGCATCCAGTTCACGGAGAACAGGTCACCCAAGCAAGAACCGACATTCTTGCCCTTCACCATAGCAGAATCACCACAGTACGTTCCCCACGAAGACTCGTCTGCATTCGAGGCCGTAACTGCAAGGATCTTGCTGTCTGCCTGTTTGATTTGATTGAAGTTGTGGCACCGGAAATAAACAAAAGATTGTTTGATCACGGGGTTTTAAGATGTTGTGATGGCTTCATAGTGGGCTTGGTGTTTTAGGACTTAACAACCACCATCTGCCTTGAGGTCTGGGAACATGGAGCCGCTCTCGCAGGCTTCCATGTAGAAGACCATCTGTTTGAACATCTGCTTGCTCTGCATTGTCTTCAGCGTCTGGGACAGCTCCTTGACCGTGAGCACTGGACCGTTGGGGAAGGCGATGATGCCGGGACCGCCATGGTCCACAAAATTGACAAACACAGTGTCACTTGCGCCACTCTTCAGCACCTTGCCCTTGGCACCCTGCGTGTTGCCGGTCAGGACGTCCATGAAAAGCTGTCCAGTTACAATGTCGCCCGAATAGTCGACTTTGCAGCCCTTGTAGACATCAGGCGGGTTCTCGCCCGGCTTGTTGAACAGCTGGCCCGGGAACGGGTTCTCCTCGCTGTTCGCCACGTCGTCCTGCATCATCAGGATGATGTTGTCAGCTGGCACTCCGCTCTGCAACATGAGCTGGTAGGCATGGCAAGCATCCGCTTGGTGGCGGTAGTTACTGAATCCTGACGAGCCAGCTGCAATGACGGCATACTTCTCGGCGGCTGCCACGGCCGGAAGAAGCGCAATGAGGGCTGCGCGCAAAGCCATGGTTCCACGCCAAGTCAGGAAATCTGACGAGAAGGAGTGTGTGCTCGAGCCAAACTTCGAGAGCTTCACAAGATGTACAACAAAAGGCGGGAGTTCGTCGAAGGCAGCTGCCTCATCACGGCGGTCTCCGGCATCTCGGCGACAACTGGCTACGGATGCCTGGCTGAAGGATCTTGGGGCTCTCAGGGTCGTGAAAACTGCAGCGGAGCTCGGTGCACTTTCATGCTGCGGGTAGGCAGACATACCATCGAAGGGCCTCTGCATCTTTCAATGCGTGCGCAGTGTCACCACCTCAGGAACGTACAAAGCCTGACAAAAGAACCAGGTGCTAAAACTGGCAGTCATGAGATCTCAAGGCGAGGTCGAGACAGGCTAAGGAAGCCCCAACAGCAGTGCGCTCCAGCATGGAGGCCCGCCTGGGCCAGGATTGCATGCGACATTGTTGGACGCCTGGGTCACGATTTCCGCCTCGAGTCCCCGAGGCGTCGAAAGGCATCACGACCCGCGGTGGCGTGCTTCAGAGCAGCCTCGGGATCCTGCAGCGAGTGCAACCCCAACTCACCCGCCCTCCTGTAGCCCCGCAGCCCCACATGCCGCCCCATGCCGGCCTCTCGCAGAAGCGACTGGGCTAGCACCTGGGCCGTCTACAGCGGGTCTCGAGCCAGGCTGGGAGCAGAGGCTCTGCGGCCCAGCCGCATTCAGTGTGGCAGCATGGCCTGTAGCGTGTCCCAGCGCCTCGAAGCGCTGCAGCGCTTCCTCGGCAAGGGAGCTCCAAACGCGTCGCAAGCTGGGAAGTGTCCCAGTGTCCCTGGCCTCCGCTGCTTGCATGGCCTCCGCAAAACTGCTGCGGGCCAGATGCGCCTCTCATCAGCCCAGAGAGCAAGGCACACTACACGGAGAGGCTTCGCAAGGGGTCTCCAAGCTGCGATGGACGATTCATGTGTCATCGGATGGAGCTATATAAGTCTGCAGGCTCTGCGGCCCTGCCTTGGCCAGGACATGCAGCGCTGCCTTAGGCACTCGGCTGCAACACATCGCTCGGGTTCTCGCACGAGTAACCGAGCTTCGGGCTGCCTGACCTTCTGAGTCGCCGCTGTCCTCGGGCCGCTGCAAGCGTTGCAGGCAGCGCAGGCAGCCCCAGCCCTCCGGAAGCTTCGCATGCGGCCTGCAGCTGGTTGAAGGCTTCCCTCGCCAGCCGCACTGCAGAGTCGTCCTTGCTGTGGCAGTTTGAAAAGTTGATATAAAGCACCACTGCTGGTGGTGCTCCACAAAACTGTCACAAAATGAGGCAGCGGTCCGGATCGAGCGACAAGCTGCTGGCTTGCTCCTGCACACTTCTGGCTTTCCACTGCGGCTCTGGGCACGAACCCTAAGCCCTACCCTACCTTTCTAATGGCTCTCCTAGACCCAAGTACTTAATGAATCGTAGTGCCCTTGTAGTCCTATCCCCACCCCGCACTCTAAGGGCCCAACCTTCAGAACGAAAACCAAAAAAGCTCCGTTCAGAACCCTTGAAGGAACCCTTGAATGACCTTTCCAAAAACAAAAGTTTGAAACTCGGTGAGCAGAGGATCCGAATGCTACTGGGCAAGCTCATCGACACCTTTCTTTCCCAGTCTTTCCCACTTAATTGTTTATCTGGTGCACAGACACGTCGTGCATCGGTGAGTTACAGCTTTTCAAGAGCCACATGGTTGGAGATTGCTCCTCTTTCTGTACCTCGGAGTTGTGTGGCGGTGCCACAATAAGACCACATTCAAGAAATGAATTGCCCTGTAACAGGGAGTGCTGACAGCCATCTTATGGCCATCACAGACATGCAGTAAGAGCAGGAGGCAAAGAGTCCCGCCTACCTGAGCCGCCTCTTCACGGTCTCAGGCACTTGGGGAAGGTGCGGCCGTTCCCTACTCGGCTTTGGCACCCTTTCGGGAAGCCTCACATACACATGATCTGAATAATCGGGAAAACAAGAATTTTAATAGTAATAGTAATAGTGTTGGTAATGGTAATATTAATACTAATATAGTAATAGTATTAGTCATAGTACTAGCAATAATAAGAGAAATAGTAGTTCGTCTTCACAAAACACCGTATAGTGTGCTTAGAACTCCGGCAAATGACCAGCTCTCAGTGCTGCTTGGCGTAGCATCGCCTTACAGGCCTTGGAATCTCCAGGGGAGCCCGGACCGGAGCCCCCAAAGAGGAACAACCTTTTAGTATTATATTATGGCATTGTAGTACAAAATTAAGGAATCAAAGTAGCAGTATTGTACTATCGTAGTAGTATTTTTATATTACAGTCGTATAGGAACATTCGGAACAGCTTTGAAACAAAGGCCGAGGAAGAGACTTCCACGTCCACCTTTCTTGCATGCTTGGCGCACTCCTGCAGGACATGTTGCGACGGAGTGGGCTTGAGGAGAGCAGCTGGCTCATCGCTAAGGTGTTTCAAACTTCAGCATCCTCCAAACCATTGGGAAAGTGCCCGTCTTTGAAGCCCGCGGAGTGAGCATGCACCAGGTCCTCCCGCAAATCATCAATCGGTCCAAATAGATTCCATCTTGCCGTTCAAGCCTCGAAGGTCAGCTGGCCGGCATCTGCACGCTCCTAGCAGCAGGCTGCCAGCTAGCAACACTTCACGGTCATTAGGGAAGCTGCTGGCACAAAGGCTTTCAGCGACCGGCACTCTTTTTGAGTCTAATCTCCCTCTTCTTTCTTAGTCTTCTCTGCGTTTAGACCTGCGCGACATCAAGATGGTTGTCGAAGTTTCGCTCTTCAGCACAGTTGCCCCGTCCTCACGCTTCTGCTGTGCTTTTTGCGCAGCTTCCTCCGAACGCATGATAACACAAGACTGTCGTAAGACGAAAGATCCCAACAAAGGTCGCCCCATTCCAGAGGCCACATAGCGAGCACGACATCAGCTCGACAACTCCTCATGACGACGGCGGGTTTCCGCATCACGAGAGCGCTGAGTTGGAGACGGACCTCGTGCACAGCATCATACAGCCCACAGTGATCCACAGCGTCTCACACGGCTCGAAGGCATCCAATCAGTAGAATCACTGCACGAAAGCATTCGCCCAAAGCAACCCTGCTCCGAGCCTGCTGTGTTAGATATGTTCCTGGTGGCCAAGGTGAAACGTGACAATCTATCTTAGTGGTATCGTAGCTGTGAAAGGGACACTGGGCCGCTGAATGAGTTTCAAAGATCCCTCTATGCAGCCAAGGGGGCCACCACAATTTCGACAGTAGTCCTGGGCTGGGCGAGGTGAGCACTGCTACGTGGGCACTATGACATGGACCACTTTACCGGCTTAACTGCTGGAGTGATCGGAGACTTCTCCGGCTTGAGCAGCCGTGAACACATGCCATACTGAGACCAGCTTCGACCTCGTCGCGATTTTGACTGCCGCAAGAACCTTTGCTTCAGGAGAGCACCCCTCGACTCGTGCGCCGCAGAAGAAAGGCACTCGAGCTTTGGACGTCAGCAAGTGAGCGCGATCTGCGTAGGCTGACACGAGCTTCCTTCTCTACAACCGCGTTGGCAAATGGCATGGCAGCATGAGACAGCAAACAGCAAGCAGGTAAAAGGCTTAACCGGCTTAACCTACACTGTCAACTCTGCCAACATTATTGCCACGACAATCACTGCTGCTGCGACTGCCGCTGGCTGCTGCTGCTGCTGCTAGTGCAGTACCACAATACTGCCTCCACCACCACCACCACCACCCACCACCACCACCACCACCACCACCACCACCACTGCCCCACAACTACTTCTACTGCTGCTGCTACTACTGTTGCTACCACTGCCCCTACTGCCACTACTCGTACTGCTGCTAGTGCTACTACTTCATCATCTTGTTCTCAACTTCTTTTGGGCTGTGCATGGCTGGCGGGAGTCTCCAGCCCGCTCGTACCGGTGTTGCTGTACTCGCAGTCGCCAATGACTTCCGGCTAAGCTTGATTCGACCTTTGCAGGCTCTTTGAAATCTGGGAGCATGTCCATCGGCCCGGTGTTGTCGGGTGCAGGTAGTGATCCTGGCGCATGGTGTCTTCCCCCTTCCCCTTGCTACGTCCAGCACAAGGTAAGTTCAGAGACTAGCCGGTCACCCAGTCCTGCCGGAAATCGCCACTGGACACTTCCGGCCGCGGTCCCCTGAACACGGGAAGTTGGACAGTCAGCAAACTGCGTCAAGAGCAAGCTGGAGGTTCAGATCGACTCGCCACGGGCGATCACGAGAGTCTCGTGAGTCTCTCTTCAACTCTCTGCATTCTTCAGAAACAGACTGCAGGCTTTATTCGTCGGTGGCTCCCCTCTCTCCGGCCAGCTTCCGAAGTAAGCCTGCGTGAATATGACAGTTCCCGAATACCCAACAAATGACTGGAGTCCGCATCTCTTCCGAGCCGCAATGGGGTTTTCACGCGAAATCTGACATCGAGCCTTAATCAAGTGGTCGGCAAAACTTCATGACTGGTTCGGAATGACGCACCAATGAGTTGCAGAAGCTGTGCAGCTGTGCTGTAGAGGCAATCTGAGCTAAGCTGCGGCCACACATATGCGGCGCAACGGAAGTCGCCGCTTGCCTTCTTGGACCGATGACGCAAGGCAAAGCAGGAGCAAGAGTGCCTGTACATCTCTCAGCAGTTCCCTCAGCAAACCCCCGACTCCACTGCATGCTCGTGCTGCAAGATTGAAAAGTTCTCAGGCTGGCCTTTGGCGGCTTTGGTGCAGCTGGAGACTGCGCTGAATACGGGCGCAAGAAGAACATGCGACGGCTGGTGGCGCAACAACCATACGAGAAGATGCTTGAGTCCCAATCTGGCTTCGTGCCCGTCTCTCATGTCCCCTGATGTCACTTGAAGGCGAAGCAGGCGGCACAACGACGATGTGTCACAGAATTGAAATCTGCAAACTTCGTCCAGTGAGACTAGATCGGTTTGAAGCAGACACTCCTGTACAGACGTTGACCATATCCATCGCAACACATGACACATGCCCACTTGCCAAACACTTACGGATCACAGCTCCTGCGCGGCTGCTGCATCCGCGTAGGCTAAGAGGGCGGCAGACTGTCAGCGAGAGATCCAAGAATACAAAGTCAAAACTGAAACACAATAGCTGCACTACCCTGGAGCCCCTCGCAATCCGGACAAAATCTGGGTTTTGATGAAAATAGCCTTCGACAGCTCAACACGACGATGCTGGCCGAACCTGTGTCCGCTGATCACCGGAAGCCTTGGCTAAATAGGAGTGACCGTTCCCTCAATCCGTGCATACATGCACCCACATGCAGGCTACTTCCAGAACAGTTCAGCAGTTTTCAGCCCAGGTGCTCTGGACTTTTCGAAGTCGGCCTAACAGCTGCGGAGTACCGGCGGGGCTGTCGCTGGGAGCCACATAAGTCAGCCATCAAGCTGTCGATGCGCCTGTGCTTGGTCTAGCGTTTCGTCTGTGTCAGGGCGGAAGCCGAAGAGCACGCCGTCGAAGAGGCGGCAACTGGTCAAGCGCTGCCCTCCCCGTCCCCGCTTGTTGCAAGCATCTGCGTAAAGCTGTCTCGGACCTTCTCCCGAGATCGTCATGCACAAAGTCATCGGCACAACCCTGGCAGGAGATCGTGTTGAATCACAGCACAGGGGCCCTGCGGCTACCCGCTCAAGCAACGAATTACAGCGGGCACGAACATGTGTGTAGATTCCTTCCTTTGTCAGCTCAGTTGCTGGCTTGTTGATACACATGGCTTGTTGCATGTGCTTGAGAAACACGTCGAGACGATTTAGAAAGCGAGCGTAGCACTGGAAAGGCTACCTGAAGGCTGCTTCGCTCGCCATGCGTGTCGCTACCGAGCGCCGTTCAAACGAAGCCAAACTTTGCAGCCTCAAAACGTACCACGTCAGTCTGGTTACTTCAAGTTCTTCGCCATCAGGGAAAGCATCGAAGCTTCTGACTTTGAGAAGCCCAACAGCGAAGGAGCAGTGTCTTTGATGTTGAGATCCTTGGCTATGTCATGCCCATACTTGCAGTGGCAAGTTCCAATCGGGTCCGAGCCCCGCCGTAGGATGCAGACCTTTTTTCGTCGCCAAATTTATTACGCCACTCCGTGCAAATCCAACTTGGGAGCAGAGCGGACGAAAGCTAGGGATGCTAGGAAGATGGAAGCGGTGTCAGTGCATCGCAGATGCCAGCTGTTGGTAAGCGAATGTCAATGATGCAGTGCTCCTTGTATGCTGCGTTGGGAACCGACAGGCCAGCGGCTATCCAATCAGGTTTGATGCAGAAATTGAGTTCGCATGCGTTGTCGTGAGACTTGATCCTGTGCTGAACGACCGTGGCAAATCTCGTTACTCCACGCAAGAAACATCTCTTTCACCCTCCTACAAACTCGTCACTGTTTGCGCTTGTCAACAACGATTCGGCAAGATGCGTGTGGTGAACGTGAAACAGTATCAGACAATGCTGCCGTCTGCAGTTGTGCAGATGTATGCTGTGGCTATGTTGCGGATGATAGCGGCTCTGCTGTCTGTTGTACTGACCCCTTGAGTGGGGGGAAGGCAGGGGCTCAATGGTGACTCAAGAGGGGCTTTCGTGAAGATCCAGAACAGGACTTGCACTAGCATCTAGCACGAGACTCATGCATAGGGTATATCAGCTCGTACTTAGACGCATCCAAGAAGCCTCCTGCCGGGGCCCGACAGGCCGTCGGCCGCGAGTTCCGTGCAACTAGACTCGATTTGGTCTGGATCACAAACATCTGTTTGTATGCCTATGCTGCACCACATCTAAGGCTCGTCTGAGATACCTTTCGGGCCGTACACGGAGTAAAGCAGACACCGATCGAATTCGGAGAAGTTGGGAACTGCCGCATGCCTGCAACGCTTCTTGTTGGGAAGCTTTGCCACAGAACCAAACCCACACACACACACGCACATTCGAATATGTCACGGACAGGCGTCTGTGCGGCTGCATACATGCATGCATGTGTGTATGTATGTGTCTATGCATCTTGTATCATGTTATACAGAGAATATACGTGTCTATACGTACATATATGTGCACATACATGTCAATGAAAACATACATATCATATTATTAGTTACGAACATATGATGAATATGGTGATGCAAGTCTTGCTGAACGTGCGTGCTATTGCAGGATACCGCATGGCATTCGTCATGGCAGACTCATGTAGACTCCCATGCGCCCCTGCGTGCAAACCTGAAACCCCATGTGTTTCCAGGCGCTGCATTCCAAGCATGGTTGCTTGAATTTCAGATTCCACCAAACCATGAACCAAGGAAAGCGAGAAGCAGGGTAAGGCTTCCTTCGCACAAGGTGTCCTTCGCACGGGGTTGCCAGGGAATCTTGGCACAGGGCTGGCTTCTGCAGGCACATGGATCAAGCTCGTCCGATACATGAGCTGGCCCTGCATCAGGCGACCTCCTTAAGGCAATGACAACATTCCACAGTGTGGCGCGCAGTTACCACACCTACACACAAGACAGCGAATCTTGGAATCTTCGCCAGGGCAACCAAACCTTTTGAATGGCCCGGAAAGGAAGTCACCGACCCTTCCCAGCGACCCCCAGACCCCGCTTCGCAGAGTAGAGGAAGAGGAGCAGCTCACCAGGACGCAACGTTGCAGCGACACGCTCGGACTCGCCAGCGGCTGCCTGGTTACTGCAGGTCTTCAGTCCAAACTTATCTGAGAAATGAGAAGTGCACACTAGAGGAAATTACAGTCTGCTCTGGTATATCGTATATAGTATATACTAGTATGTCATAGTGTATTGGGCTTTTCTGTAGTACACCATCGTAAACAGTGTGCTGGCAACAGCTCAGGCTTCAGCACAGCAGGAAGAATGCTGACTCTCTACCAAACGCAGCTGTCCTTCGGCTCCTTGCCGGACTCCGAATCTTCGTCGATGGCGCCCGTTTGAGTGAAGGGCTGCAGACGCATGAATCCTGCAGGTCTGTGATCATCTGTCACCGAACAAACCTAACCCAATCGGAGCAGTAAAAAATGGTCTCTGCATGAGGTGGGGCTGAAACGGAGGCGGCAGGAGCAGGCACGAAATGGTTGTCAGGCCTACAAAGGCACCGACAGCAACGCCTATATCAAGCATCTCCGTGCAACCATTTCAATGCGTTGCCGAGTGACAGCAGGAAGAGTGTCGCAAGCACCCTTGACACTGGCTTGGACGACGACTCCCGCTGGGGCCAAAACAGAGACGGCCGGAGCAGGAACGAATGTCCATGCGTGACCCGATGTATGCTTGGCGTGACACTGCCAGGCCTACAAAGGCACCGACAGCAACGCCTATACCAAGCATCTCTGTGCTACCATTTCAATGAGTTGCCGAGTGACAGCAGGAAGAGTGTCGCAAGCACCCTTGGCACTGGCTTGGACGACGACTCCCGCTGGGGCCAAAACAGAGACGGCCGGAGCAGGAACGAATGTCCATGCGTGACCCGATGCATGCTTGGCGTGACACTGCCAGGCCTACCAAGGCACCGACAGCAACGCCTATACCAAGCATCTCTGTGCAACCATTTCAATGAGTTGCCGAGTGACAGCAGGAAGAGTGTCGCAAGCACCCTTGGCACTGGCTTGGACGACGACTCCCGCTGGGGCCAAAACAGAGACGGCCGGAGCAGGAACGAATGTCCATGCGTGACCCGATGTATGCTTGGCGTGACACTGCCAGGCCTACAAAGGCACCGACAGCAACGCCTATACCAAGCATCTCTGTGCAACCATGTCAATGAGTTGCCGAGTGACAGCAGGAAGAGTGTCGCAAGCACCCTTGACACTGGCTTGGACGACGACTCCCGCTGGGGCCAAAACAGAGACGGCCGGAGCAGGAACGAATGTCCATGCGTGACCCGATGTATGCTTGGCGTGACACTGCCAGGCCTACCAAGGCACCGACAGCAACGCCTATACCAAGCAGCTCTGTGCTACCATTTCAATGAGTTGCCGAGTGACAGCAGGAAGAGTGTCGCAAGCACCCTTGGCACTGGCTTGGACGACGACTCCCGCTGGGGCCAAAACAGAGACGGCCGGAGTAGGAACGAATGTCCATGCGTGACCCGATGTATGCTTGGCGTGACACTGCCAGGCCTACAAAGGCACCGACAGCAACGCCTATACCAAGCATCTCTGTGCTACCATTTCAATGAGTTGCCGAGTGACAGCAGGAAGAGTGTCGCAAGCACCCTTGGCACTGGCTTGGACGACGACTCCCGCTGGGGCCAAAACAGAGACGGGCGGCCGGAGCAGGAACGAATGTCCATGCGTGACCCGATGTATGCTTGGCGTGACACTGCCAGGCCTACCAAGGCACCGACAGCAACGCCTATACCAAGCATCTCTGTGCAACCGTTTCAATGAGTTGCCGAGTGACAGCAGGAAGAGTGTCGCAAGCACCCTTGGCACTGGCTTGGACGACGACTCCCGCTGGGGCCAAAACAGAGACGGCCGGAGCAGGAACGAATGTCCATGCGTGACCCGATGTATGCTTGGCGTGACACTGCCAGGCCTACAAAGGCACCGACAGCAACGCCTATACCAAGCATCTCTGTGCAACCATGTCAATGCGTTGCCGAGTGACAGCAGGAAGAGTGTCGCAAGCACCCTTGACACTGGCTTGGACGACGACTCCCGCTGGGGCCAAAACAGGGACGGCCGGAGCAGGAACGAATGTCCATGCGTGACCCGGTGTATGCTTGGCGTGACACTGCCAGGCCTACAAAGGCACCGACAGCAACGCCCATACCAAGCATCTCTCTCAACCATTTCCGCTACAGAGCGACAGCAGGAACAGACAGGAAGAGTATCGCGCATACGCCCCTGGAATTGGCTTGGAATGGCTTGGAGGCTGGGGACGGCCGAAGCAGGAACGAAATGTCTGACGGTCTAATGCTGCTTGCTGCGACACTTTGAGGACTGAAACCGTGAACGGCCATGCTGGTAAGCTTGCGCTGTCACCGTCCTACGAGTGGCTCTTGCTCGATGTGAAACTACACTAGCCCCCCGATCTGCTGCAACTTTAACACTCCTTCTATGGTCCTGCATCGGAAGGATATTGCCGAGCCGCGGTTACCACAGTCAGCCTCAACTATCTGTGCAACAGTGGTGCATCCCAGCTTAACATCGGACGGCTGACATGTCTCCATGTCAGGGAGCAAGGGCATCAAACCGTCCCGGTGCCAGTGCTCACGCCCAGATCCCGGGAAGTTCCAGAAAGCGCCACGGCTGGCCAGCTGGCCTCGGCTCAATGAGGGCCTCAAAGTCCCCACCCCCTTTAAGTGAGCTTAGAGGGGGGAATGCTCAGCATCCTGCAGTCTGTGTCGAAGAGGGCCTCACACAGACGGAGGAGGTCCTGACAGATAGGTGTGTAGCAGTGTCGCAATGCGCGCCGATTTTGGCCAGCTCTGTGCATTTCGCCTGACGGGTTGCCAATGGTCCAGATGGCTTGGCATCCTGTCGAGAAGTTCAAGCTATTTTCGTTTGCCAACGCGATCGTACAGCAGCTCAATTGCAAAGCCCACATGCGACGCCAATGAAGCACCTCCAACGTCATGTCTAGCCGGCCGCTCGAAAAAGAAGACGCCTCCTGCTGCAACAGCGAAACAGAGAGCCTGAACCTGCTATGATTGCACGTGTTTGCGCTCTGTGTGTGCACGCAGCTCCGGGACACAGTCCCGGATCTTGCACGATGTTGCATGGTTATGGTTCGCAGCAGGCCGAATTCATGATTCATGCACGTCCTGAAACCGAAACAAGTTTCCGGCTCCGGGCGTCGGCTTCGGAGTCGCCTCATTGAAGCAAAGGAAGCGAAGGGCCCCGTTAGACTCCTTTTTCAACTCTACAGCAAAACAACACGTCAGCAGAACAAGACTTGATGTGCGTCAACTAGAATCTAACTAGAACTCCGCCAAGACACCCACGGCGCCAGGGGCTCGAGTCCTAGGCAATCAGAAGTGGAACTTCTCCCTTCTATGGCATCGTTCTTGTTCTATTCTATGCAGATAGTCGTGTGGTGTCCGCCTTATTCGCAACCTCTGTGCTACCCAAAAACCTGTTTGTCACCCCTCCGTCCGTCCCCTTCCTGAACAGCAGAGAACCGCAAGGAAAGCAAAGCAGATTGTAGATGCTGCAGGTGGGTTATGCTGGCTATCAGCTGCTCGTGAGTGAAATTCGACGACAAATGCCCGCATGCTGCTTCGATGCAGCAGTATGCGCGCAGTGGTTTTTGAATTTACACGGTTGGATTGTGAAGCAATGGACCAAGGTTTGCAAGCGATGTTGCCATGCAGTGACAGCAGCACAGTTTGGCTCCTGAGTGGACGCATGTTTTTGGAGCCGTGTTGGGTGCCAGGGGAAGCGAGCGACACGTGTTCTTCAGGTACGGCAACATGCGGATTTCGCAGATCTGTCAGATGAGCTTGACTGCGGCCACTCCAAGGGCCTTCACATCATCCAAACCGAAGGAAAGAAGGAATGTGGCAATGTGATAACCAAAACCCTTCCTTGATCACCAGGTGAAGGTCTCCTTCTTCGTCTTCCAATTTCCGGTGCCTCTTGCCGAATCCGAGAATCCAAATTCAGAGCAAACTCGATGGCTTTAAGTTAGTGGGTGCGTCTCAGGCGGCATGGCAACATTCATGTGTGGTCGCACAACGTACACATATCGAAACAAATCGCACCTCACAACATAAAGACAAACTATACCTGCCGTGATGTGCGGGCGCACCACATTCACATGCCGATGCCCGGAACAAATCGAACCTCTGCGACGTAATCTGAATAACATATACACACACCAACACAAATACACCAAAAAAAACACTTGGAATGGCTCTCGATATGGCCGAAATCATAACATGGGCTAGCAAGCTAGATTCACCTCTTCATTTGCATATGTTTCGGCTGCCTTAGTGTTTTTTCGTCGTCGTCGTCTTCGTCCTAGTCGTCAGCTCCACTCCTCATCCACTAGCCGGCACGTTCGTTAGGTACAGTCCGTTTCCTAACCGCCAAACTGTCTATGCACAAAGATGCAGTAGCAGTAAGCAGTCCTTCTGTCCATTGTATGTAAAGCTCTGGACAGTATGGCCTGCAGAACACACACGGGAGTGAAAACCGGATCCAGAGTCGGAGCTCTCTGCCATTTGATCGTCGTAAGTCCAATAAACGGCGAGGCGGAGGAAGGGAAAGGCGGCGGGTGCAGAAAAACCTGCGGAAACAGATGCCCCGCCGCAGCCGATGGCTACACAAACACATCCAATCACAGCATCATGAGCATCTTTGGGGGCCCAATCGGAGCCAGGAGGCGAGCATCATGAGCATCATTGAGGGCCTGTTCGTCGGTTCCAGAGCGGTCTGAAACGCAACTTTCAGACACCGAAAGAAAGACTCGATCCGGCAACAGCCAAAACCAACTCCAGGTGGGGTCTTGCCCGAGCGTCGAAAATGGGTCCCGCATCGGTCGGCCCCTTCCCCCACACCCCTTCTTCGGTTTAGCCCCGGAGGCTAGCTTTCGTGGTGAGAAATGTGGGCGAAATCTTTCGCCAAGAGCTTGGTCAGCAGCCCAAAACGGAACTAGCCCCCGGAAAAAGCCCTGCGCCAGCCGAACCTTGGATTTTCACTGGCACGAATAATACAACCAATACTGCCCCGCCACGCCGTGAAGGCCAAGTCTGCTGCAGTTGCCGGAGAAACACCGTTTTTTAAACCTCACTACACCGCACATGTACCAGGCCGCCCCGCCAGAGACCGTATACGTGAGTCGTAAAAAAAACACCAAACTTGCGTCTGAACCTAGAGAAGAAAGTATTTGACAACAGCTTCCTCACGTATACGGTCGCTTGTCTGGGCCAACGCGAGCAGCTAAACGAGGGTTCGAGTATTACAAACCAAACCGAGCCTGAAACCGAACAAAAAACAACAACCGTAATCACAAGCAGTGGCAACTATCAATACCCGAACCCCCGCAGGGGGGGGGGGCAACACTTAGGTCAGCCCCCCCCTTCCACTCACACAAACGCCTCACGAGCGCGCTCGCTTGGCATCGCCTGCGAGCACACAGTGCGTGTCTCCTCGTCTCTATCACTGTCTCTCCCACTCTCCCTTTTCTCTCTCTCTCTCTCTCTCTCTCTCTCTTTCTTTCTCCAGGCTTGAGGGCATGCCCCCGCTGGGGCAGCCTGTGCTGTTGGCTGGGTGCACGGTTTTACTCTCTCTCTCTCTCTCTCTTCCTCTCTTTCGCCAGGGTTGTGGTGTAAGGGTTACCCCCTACACTCTCTCTTTCTCTCTCTCACTAACCCGAAAGTCCTCCACCGTTGCGATCGCCTGGCAAACTGCCAGGCAACCTCCTCGGCTGCCGCCTTCGGCGGGTCCTGCTATTTCTCTCTCTCTCTCTCTCTCTCTCTCTCTCTCTTTCCCTCTTGCTCTCTCACCCTCTCGCTCTCCCTCTCCCTGTCACACTCTACAAAGGCAGAAGCCAGCGAAGCAGGCCTGGCCTTGGCGGAGCCCGATGTGGAAGCCTCGGGCCACAAACTACTCCCGCAAAGAGAAACAAAGGAAGAGGTGAAGCAACGCGTTGAGAACCCGGCCTTCCGTATGCGCTCATCATCCTCAGCAACATCACGAGCAAAAACAGCAAACACCAGACCAGCACATACACGCACAGACAGAGACATGGAACAGAAAGCACAACATCATAAGCACAAATAGTGACACAGAGGAAGCGACCCCCCCCATTCCCGCTACAGACAAACAGACACGCACACAAAACCTGTGGTTCACGCCGCTGCGCGTGCCAAGAGAACTTCCTGCGAAACGACACGCCAGCATCCCTTCGATGATAAACCAAACCCCGGCAGCCCCGCCTTCATCTCTTTGTCGGTGAGGTCCTGCCGCAACGAACGTGACACATAACGTCCTCACGTTCTTTCTACACGCACAAAACCAAGTCCCATGCCTTGCGTTTGGAGTGCCCCGACTTCTTGTCCTCGAGAACCGCCAATACAAAGCCATGCACCCACGTTCCGTCTCCCTCTCTCTGTCTCTCTCTCTCTCTCTCTCTCTCTCTCTTTCTCTCTCTCTCTCTCTCTCTCTCTCTCTCTCTCTCTCTCTCTGTCGGCATTCCACCCTCACCGCTCTCGAAGCTGAGCATCGCCATTGTGCTCGCCCTGCTTGTCGCCAACTTTCCAAGTTTGGTTTCCTGGTTCCCGTTCCGTCTCCCTCTCTCTCTCTCTCTCTCTCTCTCCCTCTCTCTCTCTCTATCTCGGCATTCCACTCCGCGCCCACCCCCCCGCTCTTAACTAAGATTGTTAAGCATCAGGGTGCGACCAAAGGTCCCCTAGAGGCTTCGCTGCAGTGGTGAGCCGGCGGCTCCAACGTCCAGTCATGAGAAAACCCTCATGCGAGCAGAAGAAAGACAATGCATAGCCAATGAGAGAACTCAAACGCCTTCAGCAACCCAAGTGTGGTACCTGACCGCGACCTCGTGGGCCATGCGTAGAAGGCGCACTTCACGATCTCCAGCTTCACGGACATCACGATGCCACTGAGCACGAGGTGAACCTCGCCAAGCTCCGAGGACGCAGCTGCGAGCCGCCTCATCCACAACCTGGTTAAGGTACCGCGCTCTGGCCTCCGAGACACCTTCAGGAGGCCGCCATCCGCTAGCAACCCTACCATGCGAAGGGATCCACGAAATCTCGAGTTGCGCACCTAGCCCCTGAAGGCCAGCAATCGCATGTCGGAGCCGGCGTGCCAGAACAAGGAACTGGCCACAGTGGAGCGAGTCGCACAATCTCAAAGCAGCTTGACAGTCGCAGAGTACACAGACTGGCGGTAGTGCAGTGGTGCCAGCAGCAGCGGCAACACTCAGCAAGGCCTCAAAGAAAACGACGAGCCCATAAGCCTCAGCAATGAAAGGCGTGTGGTCTTCCCCTTGCAGCACACAAGCATCGACACCGAAGCCCTCTACAGCGATCGCCAATCCAGCTACATCTTCTTTTGCTGAGCCATCGGTGGCACACAACAGCATTGCAGGATCCGCCCGAAGCGCAAGGGCAAGCTTCTGGACAACCCGCTCACGAGCAGTAGCAAACTCCGCAGAGGGTGGTGGAGGGGGAAGCTCGGGAACCGGAACACCAAGCAAGCGTTCTTCAGCACGATCACTGGGCTGAGCAGCACCCGTATCCCGACGAAATTGGTCGAAATGTGTGCATTGAAAAACCAGGTGTGGCCTGCTAGGATATTCCAAGCCACAGAAGCACCTGATATGCCACTGTTCACGAGGCCTACGGTGATAGCCGTTCTCGAACCAAACAGAGCAGCCCGATCCCAAACAGAGCAGCTTCTGCTGTCTCGTCGCCCCCCTTTCGTAGCACAGCGTGCGATGAGCTGAGGCACACAACGCCAGATGCTGGCCGGGCGCAGGGAGAGCGATGCCCTGAGCAAGAGAGTCCTCTTCCGCACGGTGCAGGGAGACCGCGATGCGGCCCGTTTCCGCAAGAGCCTTGCGCCTATGCTCAAAGACCAACCATCGCTGAAGGCAAGCGAGGCTATCGACTCCAATTTGGAAGCAGCGAAGGTTTCCCGCATGATCACGCCGGAAGATGAGTGAGCCATCGCCCGAAGTCCACCATGACCATCGCCGAAGAACACGAGTAGCTCCAGGCAGGAGGGCCGGCCAGTTCTTGACAGAGAAACGCAAGCAAACCGCCTCCGTCCATTCAGGCAGTCGCAAGTGCCACCTGACCGCGGCAGCCAGGGCGGCCCATTCAAACGCGAATTCCGGATCGCAATCCCACCCAAAGATGGAATAGACCAAAACGTTCGGCCACTGCCTAAGTGCGACCAAGCCGACCAGGGCAAGGTTGACTTCGACACGCAGCGCCTTAAGATCAAAGGGCACTTCCGTGGTCACCGCCGCGATCCAGAGGAACTTGGAGATGATC